ACACACACACACACACACACACACACACACATATATATATATATATATATATGTGCAGACGCATCTGAGTATCATAGTATTTGATCACACCCTCATATGGCAGTATACAAATGTTAACGAATCCTTCGCTGCATATACAGATTGCTCATCAAACTTTATTTTTATTAACAGGCAGCTTCTCGGAGTCAAAGCACAACCCGCATTTATTTCTCACGGCTCGATTTGTCCTGGCTGATACTGATGCTGAGCCCGAGGTGACCCATACTTACTGGCAAGGACACGATGACGGCTATGTGCGTCTCTTCCATGACGCACACGTGCCGGAAGAGCATAGACAGGAGGTTAGACCACCTTTTCAGATATGTTTTTTGTGCGGATGTTGCGCGCGAATTATGATAACCTATGTCATCCTCATGTTTGATAGGTGTATCACGCATGTCTCATCTCGGTCATGTGCAAACAATTTTATAAATAGGTTCTGTTGAGCAACGGCGATCGATACCAGGATACCTCCCTGTGGGAGTTGATGTACAAGCGCATTAGTAATGCCAAAAGTTTTATATACATCGCCGGATGGTCCGTATTTGTTCCAACCCGTCTTATCCGTAGGGAGAACGAGGAGGAAATACCCACCCTAGGTGAGTTTGGATTTTTTTAAGTGTTACTAGTGCTGTTTGTGCGATTTTGTGGTCGGAATAGCTTTCTAGGGCATCTGTAAACATTCAAGAACAGATGTACATATTTGTTACTGTTGTACTTATCGTATTGTACAACGAATATATTCACACTGCCAAACCCTCAATCACGTGAATGAACAGGCGAACTTCTAAAAAAAAAGGCGGATGAAGGTGTAGAAGTCGTGGTAATGGTCTGGGATGAGGTGATGTCTGTTAAATATCTGATGGAAGCCGGTCTCATGGGCACACACGATGAAGAGACTCACCGATACTTTGATGGAACAAAGGTGTGTGGAGTATGACAGAGACTGATTTCGACATTGTATACAACATCCTTTGAAGTTAGTGGCGCACTTGTCTGGCTCAGCCGGCCGACTATAATATCGCGAATGGTTCGAATACTTCGCGCGGGTGACCATCACGTCTTATCGCATTGATACTCAGCCTAGTGTACACTCTGATTGACTTCCTCTCACTCAGGTGAACTGTGTCAAGTTCTCGAGAACAGGCGATATGAAGAAGAAGAGTATACTCAAGCGGATAGTGTTCAGTTCCAAGCAGCTATTCTCGGTCACGCATCACCAGGTACAGAGCCTCTTATCTTGCCACAGAATCATTGACGACTTCTGATTTTTCCTGGTGGTTTCGTTTGCTAGCTTTCAGTTTTGACTTGCACTTCATCGGTTTACTATCACTGTCTTCAAACTTTTACTACTACTGTCTTAAAACTATTACCATTTCTGTCTTCAAACTCTTACATAAGTGCACTTCAACCGGAACTTCACTATTACTGTCTTTAAACTCACAATTCAAATATCCGACGGAGTTGTATTCAGAATGCCGTTGCTTAATTACGCGCTATGCTCGGACTCATTCTCCGCAGAAAACCGTAGTTTGCGATGCGCCTACAAGAAACCAGGCGAAGATCTGTGCGTTCGTGGGAGGAATTGACTTATGCGATGGACGGTAAGCAAGTTTTGTGATGTGATTTGCGATTGTCACGACGTTACTTTTATGAATTCATAACACTGTGTGATCCGAATATTCACTCGTTGAATATTGCTTCCCCGGGTTGTGTTTATATCTATAAATTCAGGTACCAAGGGCACGGTTTTCAACTATTGGATGGGAAAGCACTGCTACCTGCTGGATTCACTTGTCAGTTCGTATGACTACAGGCGATTAGGATGATGATTTGGCAAGAATTCTCACCTCATCAGTTCTATCCACTCTCTATTCTATTATGTAGGTACGATACAGCGGATCATTGCTTATACCGGCGGATGTTGAGCTACGAATATCCTGCCTCAGATTACCACAATCCTGGAGATAACTCTTTCCATGCTAAGAATGCTCCCCGCCAGCCTTGGCATGATACGCATTCGTATATTGAGGTGTGTGAGTAGTTATTTTTCTGGATATTCATTTTGTGGTTTTGTTGTATACATATACATGAACGCGTGTTTTGAGCGTATTTTTGCATCATGTGTATGCAATTACCATCAAATTTATACAGAAGTACATGCTGTATTATCAACCACTTCTGATTTGCTATTATACTCCATGCATATTCACCTGACAGATGACCGGTAGATTCCAGGCTATAGTCCTCATAGTTCTTAGTAGCTGGTTCTATGGTGTTGTACATCAACTTCAACCGACGGTGTAGTCACATATCTCCATAATGAACAATGTATTTGCTATTGCCCATTCGTGCAGGGAACGGCCGCTTGGCATGTGCTTCAAAACTTCCGCGAGCGCTACAACAGTCAGTCCTCAAGCAAAGCACCAAGGCTGAGCAACTGGACGGATACTGTCGGTAGCGAGACATTAGCGGACAGAGAGAAGGACGAGAATTGGAACGTGCAGATATTCCGGTCCATTGATAGCCACGTTGCGGCGTAAGTTTTTCTGAAGACTGCGACATTTATACCCCTTTTTGGACACTGTCTGCCGGTCAGAATGGTCAATATCACGTACAATTGTAGAATATCTAAAAATTCAGATACTCTTTTGCGTATTGCAGGACACTTAAATTGCTTCGATCTGATTGCCCGTTACTTGCAGATTTGAGGATAATACATCTGAGCTGTTTGAAATCGACTCTTTTAAAGTAGACAATAGTATCCACGAGGCTTATGTACACCAGATCAGGCGCGCCAAGAAGTTTATTTACATTGAGAATCAGTACTTTATAGGCAGCAGTCATCTGTGGGAGAATCCCAGTGATATATGCAGGTATGCTTTGTAAGCTGTCAATCGACGGTACTTTCAATTGATTACTTGGTATTTCCGTACTTGATATTTGTATGTTTATAGCGAGCTCCGCCACTAACTCACCCTCACCTCATAGTAGAGTGTTCTGTGAGAGTGTATAAGTTTGCAATTAAACAATCCAAACCTGATTGATGCCAGAAGCTTTATATATTTCATTTGCTATCTTTCTCCATGTTCATAGCGCACCCACCAATAGCTCACTTACACCTGAAGGATCTGGCAGTAGAGTCCAATCCCAACCTGTTTAATGATAGTAAGATATTTATTTCCGTTACAGACATGTTATTCCTGCGGAGATAGCGAGAAAAATCTGCAAAAAGATTGAAGCTGGAGAAGAATTTTGTGCGTACGTGGTGATGCCCATGTGGCCGGAAGGACCAGCCCCCGATATTGTTATCCAAGAGATTATGGCTCACCAGAACGAGACAAGGAAAATGATGTATTCTATGATAGCCAGGTATGATCTGACATAGGCATGTAGGATAGCGAAGCCGCCATGTCCCAACTTTGATGAGCATTGTCTCGTTGTTTGGGTCAGTTTCTGGATCTTATGTCCTTTTGTTAACTTATCGCCTATCTACGCCGGAATCGTACCCTGTCGTACAGAGCGCTACAGAAAGCAGGATCGAAGGAGCATCCCCTGCGCTATTTGGTATTCCTCTGTGTCGGTAATCGAGAAGAGGAAGGCAGTGACGAGGGGAAGCTGGATATTAGCGACGCTTCCAAATACGGCGAAACACTCTCCAAAACCCGTAGATATATGATTTACGTTCACTCCAAGATGGTAAGTCGAATTAAACCAACTGAGGCACAATACTAAACTAGCAGTCGCCTTATGAGAGACTAGGATTATCCTGTGAGCTGAGCATATCAGTGGTGTTCTGATACTACATCATGCCTATTGCTATTGACACTCCATATTTGACACGTCTTTTTAATGCATTCTCTCTGACCATGGCGCTCACTTTCTCACATTCTCTTCCTCCTTTGGACACGTACGTGAGGTAGATGGTAGTGGATGACGAGTACGTGATACTGGGCTCGGCTAACATAAACATGCGGTCCATGGCCGGCGAGAGAGACACGGAAATCTGCTCCGGAATGTTCCAGAAAAAATACCGTGCCACCCTAGATGCCTGCCCACAAGGACAGGTACATATGACAAGTATTCGTCGTGCGCGGTGTTTGTTTAAATTTTTTTTTTGGGCATATCTATTTGACGAGGTTGAGCTCTATATCGATGATATCAGTACTTCCATCATCTCGCTGATAGATTGGTTTCCTTGATATTTTGTTTAGGTATACGGATACCGACGTGCGTGCATGGGCGAACATCTCGGGGGCCAAAGCGACATGCTGGAGAAGCCATGGACATCGGAGAGCAATCTGTGGATACGAGAGCAGGCTGCCAAGAATTGGGAGCTGTATAGTCAAGACAACCCTGTCAATATGCCATCGCACCTCCTGCCTATGCCCTTCATGGTGGACATGGTTGGTACAGTCACAGCGCATCCGGACTACCCACACATTCTTGACACGACGGCCAAAGTACTCGGCGAGAAGAGTAGTGTTATCCCGACTTATGTCACAACTTAGGTTAGGGATCGGACTGCCGACAATAAATACATACTCAATTTACGAAATGGATTTTCTTTTCAGATATGGAGGGAAATATGTTTAATATCGCCACCCGATTCTCAGCTCTCGCACAGCGCAAAGACATTTATATTGGCTTTTCTCGATCTATCAGGATAGGAAGTCACGACAGGTTCGTTTCCATTGCCTTGGCGAAAGTTCAATTTGGCCCGAGTCATCGAATGTGGCCTTATATTATTACTCGAACATTTACAGAGTACGTGATTCGCTGTTCTGTACATATATACCCGGCTTTTGCCTTCATCCTTAGTCGTTAAAATTTTAAATATCTGATGACTCAATCCGCCTCAACAATTGGAAGCTCGCGTAAGAATGCATTCGCATTTGCAACTACATCGGTCATCGCGGATACATTGTGCACGCGAACAAAATCGACCTTTGCATTGACGCACTGGGTCACAGCGGCAGCGGTACCCCAGTCTCGTTCGGTGGGGTCCGTCTCCTTCGAGTGTCCGGCTATCGTGCCCAAAAACCGCTTTCTAGATGGTCCCACCAGCACGGCATACCCTAACAGAAAATACATTGAGGGTTGATATCTTAAGAAAGTGTCTTAGAAGACTATGCTAGGTGTGAAACTCTGCAAGATTGTAAGTATCCTCAGAATGCTCACTTGTGTACAGCAAGAGTACACCCATTCACCCCAAAAAAAGATGATTACGAAATTTCAAAGGAATCCTGATTTGCTAGTTGCCAAGGAGCTACGCAAGTATACCCACTCACCTTCTAATTTGCCGGAGAATAGTTGAGGGAGTGCCCTCATCAATTCCACATTCTGTACGCCGATTTTTGCGAATCCGACTCCAGGGTCTAATATTATATTCCACTTCCTAACTCCAGCATTCGAAGCAGATTGCACAGTACGACATAGTTCCCGATAAACACCTGTTTGAAATTGCGAATAGGCAAATGCTTTGACTGTTGAGCCTCTAGTACAGTGTATAATTACCGCACTCGTACCCAACACACACACCAAGCAGAATTCATTGTATAAACTAGCACACCGAGTGTTAACCATGACAAAATCTGAAGCCGCACTCGACGTATGATATGTCGAGCGTAGTTGGAATTTCAGCGATTTCAAATACCATCGATCAGACCCGTCTCCTTGCTATAATCATTCTGTGAATTCATCGTTTTCGAAGTGCCTCGCGAGTGCATCAACACTATAGGGACCTGTGGAAGAAGAAGTAGAGAAATATTTTAATGCCTATTTGAATGCCCAACAAAGATGTAATTTTTTTTTCAACCTTTACAAATTCACTGCTACACGCGGTAGTTTCCGCTCCATATTTCCCACATGCTACTTAAGTGTTTGCAAGCAGTGAATATCTTAGGGAGTGAGAATTGTGCCTTGTGCTCGCATTCAAACCCGAGCGACGCATTTGGAAAAAGATGGTGCAGAACATTGTACCTGTAATCTTGCAGCTAATTGCAGCATTGCCTTATCGCCACGCCCGGCTGTCACATCGTTAATTATGTCCGCTCCTGCGCCTATAGCAGCCTCAGCTACACTAGCGATGCTCGTATCCACACTGATCACTATATCGGTGTACCTGAACAACATTCGAAGAGCGAATTGATACATGACACAAGTAAATTCCACTGTTGCGAGGCCGAATCATGATATGGCCAAACGACTTTCACTTCAATATATGGTATGCATATTGTTTGGGACTCGCATAAAATGCGCTAAACCTTCACACAGCTATCGAGTAGACATATTTCGAAGCTCACCTTTCACGGATTGCTGAGATTATCGGCACGACCCTCTTAATTTCCTCCTCCGTTCCTACAACATCTGCGCCAGGCCGTGTAGATTGGCCACCGACATCTACTATGGCGGTCCACTTATTCCTGCTTATTTTAGCATGAGAGTAGGTAAATTCCCCATTTTCAATACCAGTTTTTGGTGGACAACCCTCATCGCCTACCCATTCACCCACCAATCGGAGCGCCTCGGCGGTCCCGTCACCCAGGTTGCCCCCGTCTGTAAAGCTATCAGGTGTCGCGTTTAATATACCTGACGAATAAGAAGAATTAACTCTTTACAATTAAAATGAGTAATTGAGGATCGACGAAGGCTTGTCAGTATACTGTGAAGCCTCCATCTCATAATAACTCTCATGCTCTAGTCGATGCGGATAAATTCATTACAGCGGTACATGTAGATTCATAATTTGAAAATTGATGAGACATGGAAAGACAGAGGTCTATAACGCGAAGAAAAATAATTGCTCATCACATGATAGTATGACCCGTACGTATGCAGTGGTCGTGTCAAGTTACGGTGAGTTGTCAACTAGCACTTAACGAACTGAGATCTGATACAGTGTACAACGCATTTCGACCAATGTAAAGCTATATATATATATATATATATATATATATATAATATATATAATATATATATATATATATATATATATATATATATATATATATATATATATAGAGTATATATAATAATAATAATATACAATATATAATATATACTTATATTATATATATAACACGAGAAAACTCATATAATATACAATAATCAATTACCACACACAC